ACGATTTCTTATAGTTATGTAGTCTACATAAGAGATCAAATTTTAGTATAAATTAGTAAATTCGTAGACGACGACATAACATTTTCTTTTTAAATATTGTATAAAACGTTTTCAGTATTATTAATTAATTATAAGAAATGCCATTATCTCACTGTAATTACTAGTGACAATAATATACATATTAAAAATATTAACTGAAAGTATTCATACTTTTCTATCACAATCAAAAGATCAATCTATTATTAAAGCACACAAAAATAATAAAAAATCAGTCTGCTTTTAAGGTTCAATTATTAAATTAAGCTACAATAGCATTTCAAAAATTTAATAGTAATAACACTGTAATTTTATTTACAATATTATTAAAATAATATTATTTAAATAATTTTTCTTTTAATTTTTAATTACTTTTAGTTTACTTATTTTACTTCTCTTATTTATATGCATAAATAGTAGAAAGTATTTATAGTGGAAAAATCAGTAAATTAACTTATTAAAAAAATTGCTATTAAAGTCTTCACTAAACTTCAATAGACTTACATTTTATTACACAATGTTTCTAACACCGAATTTGTAGGAAAGGTCGAATTGCACTGTTAGAATTTTAACAGTTGAAAGAAGTTATAATTTTAATACTAGCACATTTCCTAAATCAAAAAGAGTTATTTTTTAAATATTTGTATCTTACTACAGTTGCAAAACGCCATAACAGAAGTTACAATATTGTTGTCATATACTCTGAAAATGCAGTAAGAGGAAATCATACATATAAATCTAATTAGACAAAATTCATTCATCAAACAAAAAATTAAATAAATCAAGTACACGTAAATGAGTTATATAAACTTAAACAAACTACATAAACTTAAGTAAATTTTAAAAAATAGAAGGAAATGATAATATAATTAATAAATGGTACTATACAATCAATTAAGTAAAATTATATTGAAAAAAGTTTAGATCACTCGAATTCTGTATTATAAATCTTTACAAACTTTTTCCATTACCGCATCTCATCTCATTGTGCTCTGTCTCCTACCTTCTTTGTTCCTCGAAAGAATTCTCCCTACCAGGAATTCTTTTCAGCTGACGATGAAAAGACAGGTTTTTAAAATGAGTACATAGCAACTTAGTTGTGTCGTGAGTCACAACTACGGGCGCACATGTTACTATGAAACAGCCATGTGTCTAGGACTTATTAAAATGGAAGAAACGCATAATGATATTTATGTAAAAATTACTTTGTTTAAAAAACTCCGTGTTCAAAAAATATCATTCATTAGTTTACAAATAGCAAAATTAAAAATTGCGATTTTCAATTTCTTAAAACAATGTGACGTCCGTTGATTCTTAAATTTTATTTTGTTTTTAACTCAAATTATAATTTTATGAATTAATATAATTTTAAGAATGGTGGATGTTTTGGTAAATATCAACCGCAGTGTAATTTCCATTCTTTATTTGTATGCCTAAGGCCCAAAAAATAGTGTATACGGTCCTGGTCACAGTGCTTCTCCTTTCGAAAGTAAATCGAACGGGTTTCATCTTAAAATTCAACGATACATCATCTACTATATTTTTAATATTATAATTCCTATTTAAAGATATACAGTTGAATTATTATACTGGCACAAAACATATTTTATAATTTTAACAGATAGAACAGAATAGATATTTTTATTGTAATATATGTACATTTTTCATTGTCATGATACATGTTCTTTTTACGATATGAAAAGATTTTTTAGTAAATGAAATAAGAGCAGTATTCAAATGGTACGAATTCACGAATTCCATAAAACAACTATTTTTTTATGAAAGTGAAGAAAATATATTGAACACATTTCAATAAAGAAATAATATGATTTATTTACGAATAAAGTAAATGTTACATGTAATAGTACGTATTATTTGTACATTTGTCCAAGTAGAAAGTCTCTTGCACAAAATAGTCACACTTTTTCAGATTTACAGTAAATGGTCAAATTATGATACTGAAACAAAAGTTTCTTATTTTATAACGTTAATTAATAGAATAAGACAAATGTATTTTATGTCGTGTTACGTTTTAGTATTCTTACAATATAGTATACTTTATATTTTGTTACAGTATAAAATTTGTATGAAGATCTGAAAATTGGAATATTTGGAAATTTGACGAATTAGGAATTTGATAATTTGGAATACTGCAAGTTTGAAATTTCGGGTTTGCGAATTTTAAAACTTCTAAACTTGGAAATCTTAAAATTTGGGAATTCGGAGAATTAGAAGTTTAGGAATTTGAGGATTAAAAAATTTGTGAATTGCAGGAATTAGAAAACTTTTAACTTTCAAAATATGTTCATTTATAAATTTAGAAATCTGAGAATCTAAAAATTGGAATAATACGAAATTTGGAAATATGAAAATTGAAAATTTTTAAATTTTCCAGTTCACACATCTGTCATTCAAAGGAAGTCTACGTTGCACCCGACTGTATATGCATAAAAAATTTCAAATTGTATTACTTTATATAAAGCAATCAACACTAAATTATTAAATTCTTTGCTTATAACATTTTGCTTGTTTAACTAAAAACTTCTTCACTGTTACTTCTTATTATTCATTTGTTTGCTTAATAAGTTCCTTCATACAAACAGGAAGTACTATGTAAAAATAATTTATAACTTCCAATTTATGAAATAGAACTTGTAATATACAGTGAACGCCCAAGTTATTGTATTCGAACAAAAGTTTCACATTTTATAACGTTAACCGATATAATAGAACAGATATTTTTATCCCAATGTGGCGATATATTATTCTTACTACACATTGCAAATTTTATTATGATATATTATTTTTTGACAAGAGTACATGTAATGAAAAGTAAAAATAGAATACTTAAACATAGCCTGAGCACTAAATCATACAAAAAAATGTTTATTTAATATTTATTCCTCATTTTTTATTTACAGTTCTAAATACATAAAAAATTCTGCACCCATTGAATATAACATCGCTAAAATTGAAGTCAAGGTTTTCGTCCAACTATTAACAGAGACCAAAAACATAAAATACTTGTATCCATTCTTGCCTTTTATTGTAAAATACAAGAATCAATAACATCGTTAAACTAAATTATACTTTGAGTACAGTAATTTAATGACTATGATCGTTCAAATGCAAATATATATCTAGAATTATTCGAAGAATTTCAATAAAGAGTAGAAAAAGAAGTGGAAGAAATCGACATGATCGATTTCACTTTCACGCACCAATTACACTATCAACTAAATTAGTTTGATTATATTCACGGAATTTATGCTCCGCTTACCGTAAAACATTGAGAACTAGTATATCTGCAATCTACTATTTTTTATTGCTTTCGGATAAAAATTAAATTTGACGTCTACAGATTTTTTTACACAATTTTCTATATTTCATACATTTGTAATAAGGTGAAGTGGGGTAAGTTCGTAAATGGGACAAGTGCGTATACAGGCTATTTTTATTACAATATGAGCGAAATTTCTCCATTTAGTATGTTTGTTTCCTTGTTTTGTTTCACTATATCCCCTTTTATATTTCAGCTAAGAGTACTTGTTTGCAGTACAGAGTACTTGCAGTAATGCAGTAAAAAGCATTTTATAGCAAATTTGTTAATAATTCCGCTCTTGCCTCATTGCACATGAAATAAAGTTTCAAAGTGTTTTTAACTTCGAGTTACGCCCTTTCCTCATTTTCGGGAAAAGTGCAGAGTAGTTGACATTTTAAACAATTTCCTGTTAAAATCAAAATGTACAAGGAAAATTAAGGTCCTAGTTGATATTAATTAAACAGTAGTAATTGTGTAAAGCGTTCGATATCGACAGCGTTAAGTATTTACGTAGCAGACTGAAAATACTTACGTTTAAATACCGACTTTACAAAAAGCAGTCTGTACTTACCCCACTTCACCTTACAATATTATTACTGCTAATATATGTAATACTATATTATTACATTTTATAATAATATGAAATTTAAGACAATAAAATCATCGTTTCTTTTTTATGTGTCTCCCATAATATATTATTATATGATTAGTAATCATAGTAATTATGACAAAAATGACATTATACTTACGAAGCATCAAAATAATGATTAACGATCCTCATTAAGTAGGATTTTATCTCTATTTAAAGAATACAGTCGGAGACATCTAAAATCTAATGTTAAAACAATAATACAGAAGAGTACATGTGAAACATAATATCTCAATTGATTACTAAGTTCTCCGTTTTAAGGAATGAATTGTGTGAAAGAGGAAGTAGAAAATAAGTTCTCGGAAGTCATGAATTAATCAATTACACTCGATCTTGATCATGCTTATAAAAGGAAGCCTTAGACATAGAAGTTTAATACAATCTCGCAAATACTGGAAATATTTCCGTTTTTATTTGGCAGAAATATCCTTCTGTTATTTAATTTTTGAGGTTATGTATCAGTATTTATGGGGGAGAGTTATTAACAACTATTGTATATTTGTTCTAATTATGTTGAATTTAATAAAATTAAATATATGTTAATATCACTTTAGATAAATTACTTATTCAACCTTCTTTCACTTATTATTATTCCTATATATTTACTTATTATTTCTTTGAATTATTGAAACAAATGTAATATAAAATAAAAATTCTATTAATATGAAAATTCGTATAAAATACTCTTGCGTAATTTTATACTAATACGTTTGAAATTAAACTAATTGACTGTTAATATCAGTAATCAATAACTGATTATTTAGAAATTCAAAATAGATAATACTTTCTCTCTATTCCATGCGAGTAATGATATTACTTATAGCATGTAATATACATATACATACATATTTTATATCTCTAACCTGTAAGTCATAGTACCAATACTACATTTCCGCATTCTAAAATAAAATATTGAAAGTGAATATTATAAATACTAAGGAAAATGAACTATTTATTGATACATTCAATAATATTCTTTCTATTTTTCCAGATTGCCGTGGGAGCGATTAGGATTTTCAAGAAGAGTAAAATCACTTACGAATCACTTTTTACTTACACCTCGATGTGTGTTTCTTATTTATGCGAAAATTGATCTAAATCTTCGCGATTGATATGTATATTACAGACAATCATAGTTGAATGGAGATTAATCATTATTTCGCGTAAAAGACAAATTGCCACTCTACGATGGTTTTTTTTACTTCGATTTTTAAATATATTCACAATCAGGCTTGAGTTTCGTGAATTCTACAAAAGAGAAAAAGGAAAAAATATCTGGACTCAAAATTGCATCCTTTTCGTTTATGCACTTCGAATCTAAGGGATATCAGTATAGTTTTGTAACTGTAAATAAAATCAATTGTAATAATTTATAAGGTTCCAGCTGCTTTAGACGAAAATGAAAATACATGTATTCCTTTTGCCTTACGCATTCTACCTCGTAGTTTCGCTGAAAATCGAGGTTTGGAACTTCGCCATTTTCTTATAGAATGCGTGACACACCGGTAGAAATGCAACGAGGATCGATGTATTTTCTTTTACAAAGACTGTGCGAACGTAAGGAGATTCGTGAGAATAACTTTTACCAATGACTCTTGAAATAAATGTATTTTTATTTAAAAGGTAATTTAATAAATATAGTTTATCATATTAAATTTGGGAAAAATACTGTCCACCAGAAATTGGCGGAAAGTTTTCTGCTCAATAAATTAATTTCATATACCAGCTTAAGGTTTCTCGATGTAAACCGGTTCCATATTTTTTTATACTTTTAAATTAGTTAGTTGATCATAAGAAACAAAAGAATTCGTTAAACAGGAATTTTACATCCAGAAGTCTTAAAGTGTTCCTGTCATACTAAATACTGTATCGAACTAAACCATGGGAATTTCAAAACTCTTACATCGTTATAACATTTAAATTTAAACTTACTAACTGTTTTAACTAAAGAGTATAAACTTAAATTTTAACTTTGTTTTATCTAATTTTATCTGAACTTAAAATTGCATTCTTTTCGTTTATGCACTTCGAATCTAACAAATATCAATATAGTATTGTAACAGTTGATAAAAATCAGTTATAATAATTTATAAGATTCCAACTGCCTCAGTCGAAAACGACAATACATGTATTCCTTTTGCCTTCCATTTGTAAATGAATATTACACAGAATTCATAGTGTCAGACGATTATCTGAACAGTTGCATCAAACGCACCAGCGTGTCATCAGAAGAGCCTCTCCGCGCTCTGCAGTCGTCATTTCCCGGTTGTGAGAGAGAATATAATGAATCGTGTTCCGGTTGTAGTTGCTCTACAACGCATTCAAAGAAGCGAACAAAGATCTCGTAACATAATTTATCTTCTGATCTTATGTTTGCGATCGCTTTATCAGCTGTACCAATGTGACTTTCATTGTAACCAACAACTGTCAATATGTCTCAGTTTTTTATATCAACTTTCACTCCGTCATTCTTTACGTATGCACAAACAGCAAAATTTCTTTGAATTTTCGTAAGTAGAAAGAGATTTCATAACGCTCACTTGAAATATCGGGTAATTTAAAAGACATTGTATATTATGTAATTAATCACATAATCTTATCGGCGGAAGCCTATTTATCTATATTTTTAAGATATCGCGTTTTAAATTGTCTATAATATTAAACCGACTTACCTTATCATACGTAAATAAATATATGAGCATCTATTTATTCTGAAATTCATCTAGACTGTAATGTTTCCAATTTATAAAGGTGATTACGTGGTGCAATATAGAAGATTTTATATTTGTTTATAATTTCGAGATATCATGTTTCTATTATATATAAATATTACATACAAATGTTAGTGTTTATAACATATAAATAATATCACTGTGATATAAATAGCGTTACTACTACATATAAATAAGTATGTACCATGAATAAAGTTGCTTTGCATTCCTAATCAAGCCTCCATCTTCGAAGAATAATTTTCCATGCTGCATTGTTTTCAGAGGCAATGTATCGTACTCTATGTATAGCCGGAAATAGTTTGTCCTCTACTATTATCAACATCGTGATCAGTTTCCGGTGCTGAAAACATATTTTCAGAATCTTGTAAGTCAGATTGGTTATCGGTGAATGAAGTAATATCTTCATTCAACAATACTGTTACTGTAATCGTAAAATTTACTATCAATAGATACTACCATTCTTTTACGCTTTTTTCGTCTATAATCTTGAACTATAATTTTGTAAATGTACAAAAAAATGTATCAATTTTACTTAATGCAAGTGTGTGTCCGATATTTTCCTTTGCACAAATAAAAGTAATAAAAAATATGTAATCTGTTCATAAATTTCTTACCAAAAAAATTACAAAATTATTAAATTTCCAAATTATGCTATTTCTTGTCACAGACTGTACATTCATCAATATTCCTCTTATGGAATGTTTTCAAAGCGTCTTACTCTTTCGTACTGATAGAAATACGTATGTGTGTCGTGTATATAAACATATCGCTGTTAATGCTCTAATTCGTCGTTATACGATACGAGAAAGACTTAAACGTTCAAATAAACCAGCAAGCACATAAATGTTCTCAGATACAGAAAAATGTAAACAAGCAGAATGTTAACGTTGGATATACTATGTTATTAAGAGAGAAACAGCTTTTTGTTACCAAGTGGTGAAAAAATTCAGTCTTACAGTACCGGGCACAATAGATTTTTGGGAGAAAAATGGCGATTGAAGATCACCACTCGTATGTAAACATTTCGATACTAAAGAAAACTTTTATTTAATATATATTTTCTCACTAATATTTTTCAGTTGTACATGTTGATTAATTATGTGATAATAAATATTTAACAAAATCTGTAATAATTCTAAATTATATTAATCTTTTCTAAATTAATTTTATCTCTCTGATTCGAAAGCTGAACTACATTTACTACAGCAATTTTAAATAAATATTTTTTAACTAAAATAGTGTTATACATGTGATATTTAGATATAGTGAGACAACAGAGATTAATAGTAAAAGAGAGTAATTTCAAAAAATTTCATCAAACTTTTTAACCAGAAAGTTTTACAGTTGCTATTTGCCAACAATAAAAATGCTGTCGAGTAGAAATATAATGTTTATATACAAAATTTCTCTACATTAAAAGTTAAAATTTTAAGAATTTTTATGAATTATTAAAAATTATTATTTTCTTTTGATGATTACTGGCGAAAATTCGAAATAAATTTGTTTGTAAAACAATCTTAAAACATGATAATTAAATTTTAAACGTTCATATTTAAAAACTGCTAAGTTTAATTTCTAAAAAGGATCCATTGCTTTCCTTCTTCTTAATGTTTATCTTTTAGAAACTTTTGACGAATCGTTTCTTATCGAACCGTTTTCTTTCCTTTGAAGAAACAGATTCAATTACAATATTTATGATGACAGGGTCAAATATTTTTTTTAACGCCAGTGACTGATAAGCTGACAATTGTGTAATCAGTTTGTTACGTTCATATCGATGATAGCGTCATTCACTGACGTGTGTCTCCTACAAAATTCGTTAATGTTTCAAGAAATATTGTTTGAAGCAAAGTTGTGAGATTTTATTTAATTGATTATATATTCATTCAAAATAAGATTCATTTAAATATTCATATTCATTTAAAATATATAATTTTTTACAATTATAAAAGTGATTGTATTTTATTCAATTTTTGTTTAAGTTGGAGATTAAGATTTCAATTTATTAATTATATATTAATTCAAATTAATATCTATAATTAAAATTTAAGTAAATATTACGGTAATTGAAGAATAGAAATAAATAATAGCTTAATTAAATGTTTGAGGAAAAATTGCTCTTAGCTAATCAGAATGTTGTTTATTGACTAAATATATAAAATTTAATTTTATATATTTTTAGTTCTTTAGTTTTTTTTTATAAGAAGTAATAAATAATTGTAATCACATTTCCATCCACATCTATTCACAGTGAATTTCATACAAACCCCTTTTTTATATTGAACAATTGTTATCGTTAAATATAGCCTTTTCTATCTTCATTCTTCGATTAAAACTAAAAATAATATTAAAAATACCTTATGTATAATACGAAAGTGTAATTTAAGGATCTAATACAAATTTCGAAATAAAATTACCTGCCTTAGTTGACGTTATGAAAACAATTTTTAATTTAACAATAAATAACCAGTGAGTGATATGACAGTGCAATACAACGAATCGTTCACGCTTTCTACCATTTCAATTTCCCTATAATGCAATTTCGTTTCGCAGTTTTTTCCTGTGACCAATCTGTTTAACTTCTACGTCAGTATTCCTTGAAATCATGAATCCAGCAATGATGTATTACCAAGAAGAAAGGATTTATCATTTTTACGACAATCTTAAAAGCAATTGTTGTTGAATCATCAACCTTGAAAGCACAGAATATTTTCTAAAAGACTATAAAAAATGACGATAAAATACCACAGAAATATAAACTTTAGATTTCTAATCCTTGGACTGTTTTATGAAATGGTTGTCCATTTTATTTGATTGTAAGTTTTCATTTATCTGACGAAATATAATTACAGTTTGTGTTACCATGAAATATATTTCATCCATAACTTTAAAATTAGAAATTAATAGTTACAATATGCTTATAATATAATAATAATAAGGTGAAGTGGGGTAATTTCGTAAACGGGACAAGTGCGTATACAGGTTATTTTTATTACAGTACTAGCGAAATTTCATTTAGTATGTTTGTTTCCTTGTTTTGTTTCACTATATCCCCTTTTATATTTTAGCTAAGAGTACTTGTTTACTGTATAGAGTACTTGCGTAATGCAGTAAAAAGCATTTTATAGCAGATTTGTTAATAATTCTGCTCTTGTCCCATTGCACATGAAATAAAATTTCAAAGTATTTTTAACTTCAAGTTACGCTCTTATCCCATTTTCGGGGAAAGTGCAGAGTAGGTGACATTTTAAACAATTTCCTATCAAAATCAAAATGTACAAGGAAAATTAAGGTCCTAGTTAATATTAATTAAACAGTAGTAATTGTGCAAAGCGTTCGATATCGACAACGTTAAGTATTTATTATACATAGCAGACCGAAAATACTTACGCTCAAATACCAACTTTACAAAAACCAGTCTGCACTTACCCCACTTCACCTTATGTTCTTTTGTTATTTTTTAATCGTTGCCATTTATAACCTATGTAGATACAAATCTTTACAGTGCATTTTTTAATTATAATTCAAATAATTATATTAAAGAATCATTAATTATAATAAAAAATCTGTAACTCCTTTTAAAATTCTGTACAACAATGTCTAAACTTTTGAACGGTAACGTATGCGCACAATAATTTTCATTTCGATTCAATATCTCTACACTTGCAATTTTTATTAATATTTGCAAGGAAAACTCAATTGTTCCTTATTTTGATATCGCATAAAAGCTCTGTCCCACTTCATACTCTGTTAAATTGAAATATGAAACGATTGTATTCTAAATATATAATTGCAGTTATACTGTGTCATACTTCACACGGCCTTTTTCTCCGTGGCATTCAACTTGTTAACACATTGACCGCCATAACAGGTTACATCTGGCACAATATTCTGTAATACTAATTATTAATGTTCAAAATTTGTTTCTTAACGACTTTCGTATTTTAAATTATGCATTAACGAAGGGTTGAAAAGTATTCGGAAAAAATCACCCGCCCTCAAACTGACGCCATATTTAAATGGTAGATGAATCAATTCTGTTCTGATTGTAATCTTAAAATTAAATGATAAAGCAGGTGCTAATAGAATTACTTGTAAATGAATAGATACTGATAAAATTACTATAAAAATACTAATAAATAAATAAATACTGATAGAATTACTCGTTATAAATAGATTCTCATAGAACATCTAACAAATAAATGATTATAGATCATCTAACAAATAAATAGAAACTAATTACTCATAAATAAACTACTACTAATAAATGTACATATATGTATACGTATACTACAATATAATTACAAATTCATTGCAACCCGAAATATCGTTTATTTATGAGTTACAAAAAAGATCCAATTTCACGCCACTTACATTGAAACTGCAGTTATAAATATCTCGACAATTACTAAACACCTAATTTCTAATAACAAAGTGCATCTGTGAATAGAATAGTAAAATTTAGCGGTGTCCAAAGTCTCAACGTAATCGGTGACCTGAAGGTCTTGCACTATCTTTGTCAACCTAGTTCGTAATCAGATTAAATTGATTCATCAGGTGAACATGAATGGTCTAATTTGAGGGCAAGCCATGTCGCAAAGCCAATCAACCTCCTGAATGATTTAATGATTACTATTGTCGACTATTGTGGAGCAGCTGGAGAGGTCAGTTCGACATACGTATTTACCTGCACACACTTGTTCAGCCAGTTTATGGTTTTATTTAACCTTTTCGTTACGAATGATGCACATACACATAAAACTAAACGCGCCCAATTTTCAACGGGTTGAATAAAATGTTCAAGGTTGAACGAAATGAGTGTTACATTTTTTTTTATAAGTTTATTGTAAATTATAGCGTTTATTGCGTTACAAATGTTATTTGTTGCGTTATGTTATTGTATGAATTATAATTATTATTGGTGCTCGTTACATTATATTAGTATCATATGTATTCTAGTTACTCTTATTGTTTATTGCATTATATTATTATCTGGTGTGTTATTTTATAAGGTGAATAAAATGGTAATGGGAGAAATTCTTTTCAAATTCTTTTTCTAACCTAACCTAACCATTTAATGAAAAAAGTAGCTTAACCCTTAAATGCATGAGTGGGGTCCGCAAAGGACCCCAGTGTTGCATTTTTTGTGTTAACATTTTTAGCCGCGCCATTTGTGAACTGAAAGTTCAGCTATTTGCTTCTGTCTATATTTATGTTATGTTCAATGTGTTTACAGATATAAATTGTCGTTATAATCAAAGTTAGCACAGAATTAGGTAAGTGGGGTCCTCAATGGACCTCATGTATGCATTCATGTTCCTGATATTTAGTATCTCATTGTACACATACGTTAGCGTCAACGTATTTTGGAGGGTCGTCGGGGGTAATTAGCCTGTGCTATTTTGCCTTTGAACGATTTATGACAGGGATAGACTGCGTGACGTCTAAACGAAAGGTTGGAAATTTTTTTTTCTGTTATGACTTTCCGATTATATGTTTGGATTAAAATACTTGTTTTTACTTCTACAATAAAGATCCTTAGATGTCATTCTTCTGTTTTCTCAATTAAGTACATTTTAATCTGGGGTCCATTAGGGACCCCACTTATGCATTTACGGAATTTTTTGTCACCTATGCATTTAAGGGTTAAATAATATTCATTTGCATTAATGATACAATTCTAACGATTTGTAAATAACTTGCGATTATATTCAATTAGAAATGAATTATATAACCATTGTTTACAATATGACGAAGAAAAGATTCCGAACAATTCTTACGTTTTAATTGCATCACTGTTATCACAATTAACGATATCACATGTTATCATAAGATCGAGCATGAAACAGCAAAATATTATTTTATCGAAATTTCAAATTTATGTCACATCGGCGAATATTTTATAATCTTTTTTATCAAGTGATGCTTACGACAAATTAACCTTTGAAGGTTGATATTTAAATTTGAAATTACTTTTGAAAAATCTTATTTATCTTACATTTAATAAGATATTGCAGATAATTTGCAAAATATTAATTAGTTGGTTATTAATTAGAATGATAATATATTTTTAACCAAACGTTTCAATGTTTCCAAACCTTCGTACAAGATATGTTACTACTTCGTAAAAATGTAGAATATAAAATATTGAATTCCATTTAAATATTTGTTGCAATTAAATAAAGAATAGCATATAAATAATTATTACAAAATTGCTTACTTTTGTTTTAATTTGAAAAGTTTTAAAACCCTTTAAAATTCTATGGATTACTGAAGAAATTCGATGCATGAAGAATCAATCATAATAAATATCATACACATTATTGTCTTAATATTATGTATTAAGATTTAATAATAATAAATAATGTTGCATAATAATACCATGTAAGTACTAAGTTAATATTTAATATCGAATATCTTATACTTAATATGTAATTAACAATGTTGTCAATGCTAATTATAATTAATAAAAACACTTTTTTGTTCTTAAATGTTACAATATTAAAACTAAAAATGAATATTATGCAGTTATTAGAAATTAATTATAATAAATGCCGAAAATAATGCCTCATATAAAATTTTATTTCCAAACATTATACAACGTACAAAAATTTCCTATTCGTACGATGACGCAAATGCGATTATTTTTTCGCATTAACTATACAAGAACCCAAAATCCAATCACAGCGAGTTTAAAGAAACGATATTTAAAATAAACATTATCGGTATTACTGCATGTGACTAGTGGCTGATGATAAATGGTAAAGTACATTCGAAATTGCTCATCACAAAATTACGATGGTAAACGCTTAAATACGAAAATATAATAAATAATGGTCTACGTAAAAATCACTCACTTCATTATTAATACAAAATTATTTACAAAAAATATTTTTATTACATTCGCATAAAATTTAACTAAACTGAACGTGAAAACTGTAATTATAGTAACGAACACATTAAGAATATTCATATTAATTTATAAATCACATATTTTAATATATTATAATTATTATATATTAAATTTTATAATTTAATAATTAGAAAATTATAATAAAGTAAAAATGAAAATAAAGTACTATTGGTGGGAAATATAAATTGTCATTAAGCCATTGTAACGAATACAAACTTCGAAAGTGTTAAAGATAAATAAGTTATGAAAAAATTCGAACGAAAAAATAAAATAAATAAACCCTTCATTACATTATGATACATAAAATAATGTACTATGAAATTTTTATATATGCTAAAAATACATGAACGCTAGATTTCGTGATTAATGAAATTGCTAAAGATTTTATCTTATCATTTATAATTACAATATTTTGTTCGTCTTTAAAACTTGTAAATATACAACTCACAATATTATAAAATTCTGTTAATAAATTATTAAAGTACAAAATATTTGTTAACGGCTATTTTTACTACTATTACCTACTTGTTAGGATTCAAAAGTACTTTAAAAAATTTCAAAAGAACGAAGGCATAAGAAATAGTTGAAAGTGTTTCAATTACTATTGGAAGATGAGTCATAATTTTCTAGTATCGAATATAACGGATCTGATCAATTGTGTAATATTACTCATACGAAACACTGTCTGTAGAAGACAGATCTTGTTCTTTGGTCGAAGCTTGAACACGTACAACTGAAACCTTGAACCAATGATATTCAATGAGTTAACGGTTCTTCCTCTTGAACAATATTCTGTCTTTGAGCTCGTCTTCCTTGCATATCTTCGGCCAATTGCTGCAAGAGTTCTTTGAACACATAATTATCCACATTTTTAGCTATATAATAAAGGAACAACCAATCTCCGAAATGATATTCCTTGGTAACTGTCAGAACGTTCCATGGTGAATATTTCCCTGGACAAGCCATGAGAAAGACCAACTTGTTGAACAGCACGCTCCTACGGAAGAAAATGGGTAACTGATTCATCGATAAATTAAATTCACGTCATTCGCACAATAGCGTCCAGACTAGGATCGCCCGATGAGTTTTATAAGAACTGAATTTTTTTACGAATTTTATACTGATATTTGATATATCTTTCGTATTCACTGATTCATTATTAAGACATTGATATCAACATACTTTACAAATTTTATCCAAAGTACTGTTATACCAATAATATTCCTAAATTAATATAAAGCTTCATTTAAATATTTGGATAACTGATACTGTTCCTGCCAGATACTTTGAATTTTGGAAGACAATAAATTTCTTAATTTCCTAGCTTACGAATGCACAAAATTTTTTAATTTTAAACTAACAAGTTTGTAAGCATTTGCGGGTTTTCAAATTCTTAAATTACCCAATCTTTAAATGATCAGACACATTCTCAAATTTTCAAATTCTAATATATCAAAATCCCGAAATCCTTAAATTTCCAAACTTCTCACTTCAATTTTAATTCCATCATGCTCGTCACTTTCGTATGTCAATAGATAATTCACTACTATTTAAACCTTTTCTGTCTAATCTCAATATCGTACACATTGTACAATATTTTTCTTTATCTAGTCAATATTTTCTACACTATTTCATCTGGCAGATTTCTTCTACGCTGTCCTTTATCTAGTAAATAATATTTAACCTCCGACCCGACGGTTTTTATATCAAATAAAAACAGTTAAATATTAAATTTTATACATCTTTCCCTAATCAAACTAATTTTAGATATACAAAATGTCTAAAAAATATCGCTATGCCAAATTATCTCTTTATTATTATTAACTGTGATCTACTCTAGGGCTGTCGATTTGGCAAAAAGAGTTGACGGGTCGAGACCATGAAAACAAGAAGCAGGATTCTCGGAAAGATCACGATCGACAAGTTGTACATGTAAAGAATAAATAGTAGTAACCTGGCATGCAGCACCATAGTCAGTATTCTCCAAAGCAAACCTAAACCGGTTAGCACCGCAAGAATGATGAACCAATACCACAGGAACACATAGATCTTCTCGTTAACGATGTTCAGTGCCATCACGCATAGTGCGTCGTGGTTCTGGATGGTTCCCGAAGCACCATATTTGTGGAAGACACACTTGGTCACCTGAAATAACGATCCGAAATCGAATTCTCGAATTAACATGCTCCATTGCACTTTAAGAAAAGAAGTCGTCCCGTGAATATAGTGCTTTTCGAATCATTTCTCTTTTACTTTTGACATTTTTCTGTGTCGAGATTGGTAACGGAATTACAACCCGATATATGAACCTCCCTATGTATCGTTGATAGCAACGATCATCAACGATGAATTATGGAGCTTTTAAGATGGTTCCAATGAATTCTATATGTTATAATTTGTCGAAAATCATATCCAAACACAGGTTCTATCGATTCGGCGACGATCGACATAGATGAGCACAGATTCTTGACATGCAATTGCAGCTCTACACAATAAATTTATGGTGTCTCTCGCGTCTACCCTTAAGCTTTCAATCAAAAGACCAAAAATTGCGGTCTATAGCGTGATACAGACAAATAAACAGACAACTGAACAAATGCAGATCCCGCTACATTCAGTAATAATATATGTCAAGTTCAAGGGCATTGAGACTCAGTCCGTTTGTGTCAATACAATTTTCATTATTTTTAAGATACTAAATAATTTACCTTAGGAAATACGACATCCAGGGGATCCATGTCTCCTTCGATAGTGCCAGCCGCTACTGCTTGACCAAGTCCAAGAAAAGTTCCACCCAGGAACCAATCGGTTAAGTAGATTTGCACCAGCACGTTTATGAAATTGAATACCTCACAAAGGCACATGTAGTATGCCCATGGCCGATTTAAATGTATCCGATTTATAAAGGCGACACGAATCTGTCGTACTTTATCGTCACGTTCAGCTTTCGACATAACCGAAACGCCATTATCGGTTTGAAAAGATGTGTCTCGGAGAGCCAGGGTCGCCATATGCAAACCAGACACCAACACTTTCAGTCGACCCCCTGTATCAATATATACATCGTTTTTCTAAAATATTTGATTTCAAACGACGTCAATATTCGTTATGAAAAGTTAGTATTTACGAGTCAATTGATTGTAATTATAATTTCAAATTGGCAAAGAATAACCTGTTGTGTTAAACTAATATTTTCTATAAATGTACATCAGGTCATCGATGACGTGCAATATGTTAATCACCTGAATTTTGTATAAATAAAATTTTATGACTACTACTATATTAATGAAGTCTAACCTAATTGGATCGATAAGTAAACAATGTAATTATTACATCGGATTCAATTATTAGATTAGTTTAAGTTAAGTTATACTATATAAAATATATACGCTACGGACGTTACATTTCATTAGATATGAACATACTACCGCACAAAGAACCAGCCCTTTCTCACTTCGTAATTTTTAAGAACAGAATAGGTTATAAAACTTAGACAATAGAAAACTGGAACACTCTGTATATCTCTGCATTCTTTTCATTTTATCCTTATTAGTCTAGACATTTTATTCGTGTATATTGTATAAGTGAGTGTCGAAATGCAGAGAAAAAAAGCATCGAAATCCATGAGAACGACACATCGATAGGTTGACCGCGCTTTCCAGACAAAAGAAAAGCAAACACAGGAATGTGGGAAAGGTACCTAAGGTCGATCCGAAGGTAAGTAGAGGGACTGACCTTCAACATTCCTCCACAGGTAGTGAGGCGCGTAAAAGCAGATCGCCTGCAAGAACAGAACGAAGGGCACCCATTGGTAGTATGCATGATGCACCACGCGATCATCTCTGCCTGCTGGTCCTACACCGGGATGTGCAATTTCGCCTAGTTCCACCGATGTGGCGTTGAAGTGTTTCACCTATGACATTTGTTTTCAACATTTTACAATTTCAATATCTTACAATATTAACCCCTTGCCATACAAATTATCTGTCAGATACCTAACACTAGAACTGCCAGTATTAATTGCACGCTTATTTTTAAATTGACTAGTGAGTCTATAGATTAGATGCCTTATGCGAATATTAATGTGTATTTAAATGTTAGAGTACTTACTATAACGTCCTTGGAACTTCAACAATCAAGAATGTTAATATCAATAAGGAAGAAAGTTTCCTTTTATACATTTTTATAAAATGACCGGTCGCAAGGATAAATATCGTCTTCGCCTTACATTCCGCGCGGTAAACAGTAATTAAGAGTAAATCCCGTTGTTTTTGGTGACAAATGAAGTAATTCCGATAAATAATTAGAGTGACTATTAATTTTCATCGCAACGGAACATATTGCCTCGGCCATTAGTTTCTCGAGGTCTGCTCTAGGTTGAAAGAAGCTAGTGAAGAGTGGAGCTTCCTATTGAAACGGCCTAGTTTCTGAAGCACGTTGTTTTCAGTTGCAAGAGTTATATTCTGTCTAATGAGTACTTATTGAAAATAATTGTACAATGAAATTCATAATTAATTATTCTCAGTCGACTTAGTCGCTTAAACTGTGTAAAACCTAGCGTTTAAATAAAATTGTATATATTTTCTCAAATTATTGAGTATTGTTTAATCTTTGTAATGGTGTATCATTTCTCGAATCTACGCACCAAATATCGAATAATTCTCAATATTTTGCGACATAACAGTTAACCGCGCATAACCTAACGTTTTCTCACCCTTCTAATGTTGCGTCATAAGTATTAATTTCATTTTCTCGAATTACCCAAAGAATTAATTCGAAAAACGTAATTGTTATTTTACTCAGACAATTTTAGTTCTCCGACCATGCAAACCTTACATATTATCGAATCAATTATTATAATACTTAAATATTTACTTTTCATTTTCTCTTAAATAATTATTAAATATAATCTAAACCTCGCCTACATTTAATTGAATGAACCTAATTATTGAAAGGTATTAACCTATATATTTTACTCTTTAACCCCGTGTCACACGGATCCATATATCCTTTAGAATATAGTTAAATACGAATCGTTACAGTACGTAAAAAGTACTCTTATATCTCACGAGCTGTTAACACCTACGCCTAGTTCTCGAGACGTTACACTACTGTAAACATCTAGGTAGAACGAGAATGAAACGTGGAGAGTTTAAAATTGTTCCAAACGATTAATCGTGTCTGAAACTATCGAAGATAATGCCAAACAAGATTATTATTGACTTCACGACTGTTGTCGACTATGAGGAATTATTGTTGGCTACTATAAGTTATAGAGCTATTAATATACTTCTAGTCAATTCCATGTGTCAAAAATGATGGCAAGCTATATCAAAACACGATTCTGTATCAATTCGACCACGATCGACGTCGATCCGCAGATTCCGGTTTTCAGGTCGCCAGTAAAATTTATACAGCAAATGTATGGTGTTTCATGAGTCTACCTCAAAATTTCGTGTCAAACTAACCAAAATTGCGACCTATAGCGTGTTACAGACAAACAAACAATTCAAGTCGTCCCAAGAGTCACAATACGTTCGACAATTAATTATTTTGCATTTTATTTTTTATTGTTAAGCGTTAGACTCAAAGTATGGTAAGGGGTTAAAAGTTAATTTTTAATTTTATTATTAGGTGTAATATTTACCACAGTGTAGGTAGATGTGAAAAAACAGAAAGTGTTGATTACTTTGATCTGTTCATCGGTCATCCCGGCACCACCGATACACCTTTTTATAACAAAAAATAAACTTTATTGGTGTTTAATGTACTTTTTATTGAATTTGTTTTTATATTTAATTTAATTATTTATATTGACTCGACAATGTGGCATATGTTGATTGTGTCACGTGGATGACATTAAATAAAGATACTGGGTTTAAGGACAATGTTATAAAAATTGAACTGCTTCGTTGTGAACTATGAATACTTCTCCCTTGTAACGAATTAACCTTTTCATTACTTGTATTAAAGATTATTATAGTTACCCTTCTTTAAATAGCCATTGTGAATTATAAATGACTGCAGTCATCCGGCACAGATCATTTGTAACGCATGAGAAAATAAATAAGGAAGCAAACAATGGAATAGAATGAACTAAAATAGTGTAAAATATATAAAATCGAATAAATTTAATTTGTAGTTGGCTAAATGTGGCATACTCTCTCGTAATGGCAGTTTTTGATTACTACAATGAAAGGGTTAAACATTTTTCTATACATTGCAGAAAAAATTTGTATGTGATTAAATTTTAGACAGGTCTATGTAAATATCTGTAATAATATTTAAAAATAAGAAAAGTGACATGTAATGTATATTTGTAAGTAACTGATGATGGACTTATCGAAGCATCCTGTGACACAGTTATCTAATAACAATTAAAAACACTAATTCTATAAATAATTTTAACGATAACAGGATAGAAGAAAAGAATATACTGGAATGCAGTCTATAGAAACATCAATGAAATTCCTAATATAGAATGCATCTAATACAATCAAAAAAAATTGTGTGAACTTTAGTAATGATAAGGACGAAGAAAGAAAATGGTAGGAAGTATTCTATCGTGAAATTGATAAAATACTCATTATCAAACATTTATCTAAAAAAACTTAAAAAACAAAAAATGAAGAAAAAGATAATTATAGATATAGATAACATTAATGACGATAAAAAGGAAGAAAAGAAAATTCTACGAAATAATCTATAGTGAAATCAATGACATACCTAACATAACATTTATTTGATAAAAGTAAAAAAGAAATAAGAAGCGATTGAAAAATAGTTTGTATAACGAAACAGATATTTTTAACCATAATGAGAAAAAAGAGAAAGATATCATAACGTAATCTGTAGGAAAATTACTGAAGCACTTAGTGTAATAGTTATGTAACAAAATTTAAAGAAACCGTATAAGAATATTGTTAATAATTATAACTAATTAGTAAATATTAGGAATTAAATTACAACGAAACGAATGAAGCAAAATTTATAGTATCTATATTGTTCAATACAATGCTGAAAATACTTATAATTTACTAATACAGGATAACATTTTACAAGTACGACAGTGGATAATCTGTATACGATTATAACTGCATGAAGAAACTGCTGACAGTTTATCAGTATATCTTCAATCAAGATAGTTACAATGTTACTAAACAATGAAGTATCGCTGTTAAAGTAAAAAAGTAATTTCAAACATCACATATTTCTGGATTCTATCTAGATAGAAATTTGTTGAAACATAAAATATTTAAATTTCACCTGTAATATACAGATATAATAACAACGATTAATTCTTATCGCAAGAAATAATTAAAAAGTTACTCGATTACTTATATTATCAGATACTTGTGTAATAAAGAAATATGACTATTTATAAACTAGTGGACGTCTTAGCAGCTGAATAACAAGTCCATCTTCAATTAGACACAATCGAATCAATCTTGCTTAGTTGAAACTTGTTTTGAGAATGTTTGGTGCTTACATTCGTACAAGCGTGTCTTGCAAAACGAAATCAAACTACTCAAAGAATTCAATGAAATCTTAATCTGTTATTCATTATTAATGAATTTTCTTTTTTATCATTGAAAATAATTTAAACAAGTTCTCTATTATTACTTAAGTTTCCTACCACATTTTATTTACAAAATTAAGAAGTGACAATTGTATAAAAAAATACAAGCAACATGTTAATTCCCAAAACTCAAAATCGTACATGATCGCCTAATAATTTCAAGAGTGTCTGAAAGGATTCGCAAAAATCCGTAGAAGCAAATGAATAAAAGAAAAGACAATTCCACATCGCAAACAATAACACAAGAAGAAGTTGTTGCAAAACGTTCAAATTAATACAAGTATCGAACTTTATACTCATACTTTTTCCAATGAAAGTCTCCATACAAAAAGAGCACCTAAACCTATCCATTAGCCCCCTAACTTATAATTTATTCATCAGTTGCGTCAGTCAGAGCTAACTAATTATTATCACAACGTTAAGATAATTAGAAAAGTTGTTATATTTATTTTGTATTTAGCGGTCTTTAATTGTTCAAATTACACTACGCATCTCACACAAAATTGAATCTTTCCGCAAATACGAATTGGGTTTGAATTTGAATTGCGTATACGTCACATGTCTGACTTAGCATTATAAGTCAAGGGGATAACAGTAAACAATGTCACTAAAAACATAGACAGTCTTAAGACTTCTCAGTACCTGATGTGTTCTCCGATAAACTGTGTACCTGTTACCAGAAGCGTGCCGGCCAAGAGTAGCAGGAATGTGACCCTGTAGTGCATCTTGAAAACTAATCGCAATTCACTGATTACATTTTACCATTAACAAAAAGAAGAATAAAAATAAACGCGTCAAGTTGAAGAGTTTTCATTACCAATGCTGTCAATGGCTACATCGCTTTCCGAGACCTTTAACTTGACATGATCCTTGAGGACCGAAAACATAGCTAAAACAGTTGCCATTTCGACGAGAAACAGATACTGTTCGCTCGATCGTAATCGTCCGCTTGTTCTCACAAGATGTCCTTTATTAATCAATCGTACGCTCCGTTTAAGACACTCAGCCGCGGACGGGCCACTTCCGGGACGCTCAGGCACCGCCGGATCACTTCCGATCCGATATCCTCGCGAACAAGCACGACGCACAGTTTAGTTTCCGCAATATTGATAGATAGATCGTTAATCGAACACATACTGAAGTCCGTTGGCCGGTAAATCTCGTTTCTTATCAACGACGACGATTGCGCAGTAGCATTGAGTGACAACGCTTTACGAAACTCGCAACTAGTCGAAGGAGGTAGAAACATTATTGTGCGAACACTTATTCGCGGAGATAAGAGCAGATAACATCGTTCTTGAATTGAGATACGCAAAATGAATGCAATTTGGTATTTGACAGTTCCAATCGGCACAGATTTCATCGGTCTTTGTTATAGGTTCAAAGGAAATGTAGGCCAAGCTAGTAAAGTCACTCGCTGGGCATGTTTGCGTTGCTCTAAGCAATTGAAAGAAATTGAAATACGAGGTTAACCCCGTGATGTTTATACTTCTGGAGTGTGGGAAGGTTGGACTAATCGTTTTCCCTAAATGTCGTTTATTTTATCAGCACTTATCACTTAATTCAATAAGTCATTTCTGTAGACACATAAAATCATTATACAAATGCGAAAATCTTTCACTCAATAAATGAATGCTCAATCTCACTCGAATTATAATTGAGAAATTTAAACTATAATTAACTTCACATTTTTTAAAGTTAAACACCTCGTTATTTTCTTTCTTATCAAAGTAAATTTGATTACTGCAATAAATTTGCTATCTTAATCTTGTAAAGACAATTAGTACGAACTATGTGTAATACTCATTTAAGGGAATTATATTTCTATCTATAGAAAAGTGCTCTATCTCTACTGATAAATTAATACTGACGTTTGCAACTTCAACTGTAATAGCGCTGAATGTTACAAATAGCACCAATGACTCACATCATTTTGATGTATTTTAATGACTGGAAGAAATTGAAGAAAATGCTAAAAATCATTCATTTATTCTGCAAAATAAAATACAGGAAACTGAAATTACAAACGTAAAACAGTTATCATTAAACAATTACGATTATAGCAAAGTATACCTTTTACGAATAGCCTTTTTCATTCTCGCATTTCAACATTTTAAAAATTAAAAATTATAAAAAGTTGTGAATAATGCAAAAATTATTAATATTTAGCTACAAGAATTATGCGTCTTTTCCTTTCGCAATAAAATTATTTTTCAACCACACTCTCGGCTTATTTTAATAATTTATTTTGACACTTTATATTTACGATTGTATACAATTATTTTAAATACGAATTTTTATCAATAATGAGTTTATAAATTTATAAAATATGTGTAACATGAATATCTCATATATATTTGAAATAAAATATGTCACAATAATGTTACATTAAAATAAATCTTATTACATACATATTAAATAAGTTACTTTTGTACAAAATAAGTCTTCATAATTATTTATACCTGCTGCAGAAATCTGGATCAGGAAGATATATCATTATTACGTATAATTTACCATCAACTTCTTCCTTTCGAGTTCTTTCACTTCAGTTTTTCTGTATTAATTGTAAGACTGTAAATTGATAAGGCTATCATATGTACTTGCATATGTAGAGTATGAGCATTGAATATGAAACAACGTAAAAATATGAAACCCCATAAGATCTGTATAAATAGATTGATCGTTCTATTAGCCATCATACGAATTACATTTTTATAGTCAAAGAACGACTCCGTTATTTATTAATCATAAATTAAAATTTTCTTGTGGAATGACAAATATTCCTGATTTTTACAATGAACAAAATTTGTTGAGGAATAAATAAAATAGATAACGCTTTTGTGAAGATAATACTTTTTCATAAGTTCAAAAATAATTTATTGTGAAATTTATACCGTCCTTACTGTAATTGTTACTCAGTACGTTTCCAAATTTCTTAGTTTCCAAATGTCAACATTACTAGATTTCTCAACTTACAGATTTCTACATTTCTGCATTATCAAATTGATAGTTTATAGATCGATCGATGGATCGAGCGATGGATCGAGCGATGGATCGAGCGATGGATCGAGCGATAGGTCGAGCGATAGATCGAGCGATGGATCGATCGATGGATCGAGCGATGGATCGATCGATGGATCGAGCGATAGATTGATAGTGAAAGTGATAGATTGATAAAGTTCCCGGAAAAAATGTTATATATACTGTTTTGAACCCCAGTCTAACAGGCAGTAAAGTTTAGAGTTGAAGGTATGTTTTTTGGAATATCACAATAACTAATATGTGTAAAACCATAATTTTGTCTTGAATTGTGTATTTCTGAATGATGAATCCAGATGTGAGGGAAATTTAGAAATAGCCGTCATATACTTAGATAATATTTAAGAGATTTTATTTTTTGAAATTGTTTTTTTTGTTAAACGTTTATTTCAAATACATTGTCAAACGTGAATTATGGGCAAAAATCTGAAATACGGATTCATAAAATTTTCAGTTACTTGTCGTTTAGAAATTCTATTTACACCCACAATTTGTTATCACAATATGCTATGTAAACTATTTTGTTCTGTCGGAGTATCATAAACTTTTACAATGTTTTATAGAGGATGTTACACAACTTCAACTTTTTTACCTTCGGACACCAAGGGGGGTGTCGCAAGTATAGGTCTGGTGCAGTACTAAATACAATTGCAATGGTCAGAGGCCTTTCTTTTGACTTCTTTTACAGCTTACTTTTGTAGCTTACATTTCTTTTGACCTAATTTATGATTAAAGAATAATTACTTATGTACACAGTCCTGCGTAATTCTTGAATAAGTAAAACAGATGTTTTCATCGCTAGAGGCATATAAATATTTTTGAAAGAAGAGATTATATAATAGAATTAGTTCAGACTTCAGTTGTGTCATTTCGCAGGTGGATAAAAAAATATTATACACTAAAATAAAACTTAAAGAAAAGAAAGAAAATTTGTCGTTATATAATTCAAAACTGATTTGTATATTGACCACAATAATGAAATTGAATAAAGTACAGTAAATATTCGATATGTGCACCATTCTCGGGTCTGAACTGGTGCAGATATCGAACAGTTCCTACGTTGATTGATGTTTTGCCGAACGTAGAAAAGGACAGCGAGCGAAGGATACCGAATGTAAACAAACGGAAACATACTAAGGGATAATACTAATGAGTAAAACTTCTTTATTTTCCATTTTTTCGTTATCCAACTTTTACTAATGTATTCTTCATACTTTTCCGATTAAAATAAGACTAAACACTAAATAATTTAGACTATGTATAGTACATATTCGATATGTGCACCATTCTCGGGACCGAACTGGTGCAGATATCGTACAGTTCCTACATTTCGAGCGAAGGAGACTGAACGTAAACAAACAGTGACCTACCAGAAGGACACTCCTAATGCAAGAATAAAACTTTTTTATTTTTTATTTTTTTTTTGTGAAATTTTTTCCATCATATTTGTAACATTTTTGTCGTTAAAATGAGACCAAACACGACATACTTCGAGACATATTTACTTGTAATTTCAAGTGTTACGCGTACATCGATGATTTTACTCTAATAAGATATTGCAAGTAAATATAACTCGAATTACGTCGTGTTTAGTCTCATTTTAATCAGGAAAATGTCACGAACATGATAGAGAAAGTTTTATAAAAATTTGATAAAAAATAAAAAAGTTAGCAACGTATTAGGATTGTGAACAATTGAACAGACTTTTGATCTTTGCCGACAGCCACGATCGTAGTGTCTCTTTCTTTTTGACTCGCTATCCTCTTCGACGTGAAAAACTTTCATCGTCAATTAAACCAGTAAATATAGCCCAAATTATGTCGTGTTTGGTCTCATTTTAATCAGAAAAATGTAAAGAATCTATTGATAAAAGTTGGATTTCGAAAAAGTCAAAAATAAAAAAGTTTTATATTTGTATATGCATTGCTTCACGGATATACCCGAACCCGGATCATGTTACATTTCTCGGCGATCGAGCTTCTCGGCGTCTGAAGGGATCTTCCCCCCAGTGGTGGGGATAACTTTGGTGCACATATCGTACAGATCATTTGTGCACATATCGAATATTTACTGTAGTGTGTAGAGCACAAATGCTTATTGTATCAGGAACATTTAAGTATTGGCGTATTCTCATAATGAATTTCTAAATGATAAATAACAAAAATCAAAATGAACACGTATTTTCGATTTTTGCCCATAGTTCACGTACGACATTGTACTTGAAAGTATATCAACGTTTAACAAGACAAACTATTTAAAGAAATAAAATTATCTAAATATTATGTAAATAAGTAATGGCTTTTTTCAAATTTCCCTTACATCTGTATTCGACATTGAAAAACACACAATTAAAAAAAAATGATGGTTCTATACCTTCTGCTTATCAAGATATTCCAAAAAGCATACCTTTAACCCTAAATTTCACGGCCTATTATCCCCCCTTTAAAATGTACGACAGGCGATTAAAAAAAATACATGTGAAATAATTTTGAGAAAACTTTATCTCATTAGTTGCATCAAAATCGGCGTATGTAGATTGGATTCTCTTGTACGAACGAAGGGATGAGAAATGGTCAAAACTGTTTCAATTCCTACTGAAAGATGAGTTATAAATTTCTAGCATTGAATATAACGGATTTGATCCATTGTATAAGAGTACTTATACAAAACACTGCCTGTAGAAGACAGATCTTGTTCTTTGGTCGAAGCTCAAGCACGTACGACGGAAACCTTGAATCAATGATATTCAGTGAGTTAACGGTTCTTCCTCTTCAATAGCATTCTGTCTTTGAGCTCGTCTTTCTTGCATATCTTCGGTTAATTGCTGCAAGAGTTCTTTGAACACATAATTGTCCACATTTTTAACTATATAGTAAAGGAACAGCCAGTCTCCGAACTGATATTCCTTGGTAACTGTCAGAATGTCCAATGGTGAATATTTCCCTGGGCAGGCCATAAAGAACACCCATTTGTTGAACTGCTCGCTCCTAGGGGATTGAAAAAATGGATATCTGATTCATCGATAAATTAAATGCACGTCATTCGCACAATACCGTCTAGACTAGGATCACTCGATGATTTTTACAAGATCTGGATTTTTGTATAAATTTTGTACTGGTATTTGATATGTCTTACGTATTCACTGCTTTATTATTAAGACATTAATATCAACATACTTTCACAAATTTTATCCAAAGTACTGTTATACTAATAATATTTCTAAATTAATGTAAAGCTTGATTTAAATATTTGGATAACTGATACTGTTCCTGCCAGATACTTTGAATTTTGGAAGACTAAATTTCTTAATTTCTTTACTTACGCATTCACAAAATTTTTTAATTTTAAACTAACAAGTTTGTAAGTGTTTGCAGGTTTTCAAATTCTTAAATTACCCAATCTTTAAATTATCAAACACATTCTCAAATTTTCCAAATTCTAATATATCAAACTCCCGAAATCCTTAAATTCCCAAACCTCCCATTTCAATTTTAATTCCGATATGCCGTAATTTTCGTATGTTAATAGATAATTCACTACTATTTCACTCTTTTCTGTTTCAATATCCTAGACATTGTACAATATTTTTTTTTATTTAGTCAATATTTTCTACACTTTATTTTATCTGGCAGATTTCTTCTACACTGTTCTTTGTATAGTAAATAATATTTAACCTCTGTCCCGACGGTTTTTATATCAAATAAAAATAGTTAAATATTCAATTTCATATATCTTTCCCTAATTAACCTAATTTTAGATATACATATCTAAAAAACGTCGCTGTATCTACTCATCTCTCTATTGTTATTAACTGTGATCTACTTTAGTGTTATCGCTTTAGAAAAAGCAGCTGTGAATGGGGCCATGAGATTGATAAGCACGATTCTCTAAAAGATCACGATCGACAAGTCATACATGTAGAGAATAAATAGTAGTAACCTGGCATACAGCAGCATACTGAGTATTCTCCAAAGCAAACCTAAACCGGTTAGCACCGCAAGAATGATAAACCAATACCACAGGAACACATAGATCTTCTCGTTAACGATGTTCAGTGCCATCACGCATAGTGCGTCGTGGTTCTGGATGGTTCCCGAAGCACCATATTTGTGGAAGACACACTTGGTCACCTGAAATAACGATCCGAAATCTAATTCTCGAATTAACATGCTCCATTGCACTTTAAGAAAAGAAGTCGTCCCGTGAATATAGTGCTTTTCGAATCATTTCTCTTTTACTTTTGACATTTTTCTGTGTCGAGATTGGTAACGGAATTACAACCCGATATATGAACCTCCCTATGTATCGTTGATTGCAACGATCATCAACGATGTGTTATGGAGCTTTTAAGATGGTTCCAATCAATTCTATATGTTATAATTTGTCGAAAATCATATCCAAACACAGGTTCTATCGCTTCGCCGACGATCGACATAGATGAGCACAGATTCTTGACATGCAATTGCAGCTTAAATCTACACAATAAATTTATGGTCTCTCGCGTCTACTCTTAAACTTGCAATCAAAAAACCAGAAATTGCGGCCTATAGCGTGATACAGACAAATAAAGAGGCAACTGAACAAATGCAGATCTCACTACGTTCAGTAATAATATATGTCAAGTTCAAGGATTGAAGACTCTGTCCGTTTGTGTCAATACAATTTTCATTATTTTTAAGATACTAAATAATTTACCTTAGGAAATACGACATCCAGGGGATCCATGTCTCCTTCGATAGTGCCAGCCGCTACTGCTTGACCAAGTCCAAGAAAAGTTCCACCCAGGAACCAATCGGTCAAGTAGATTTGCACAAGCACGTTTATGAAATTCAAAACCTCGCAAAGACCAAGGTAGTACGCCCATGGCCGATTTAAATGGATCCGATTTATGAAGGCGACACGAATCTGTCGTATTTTATCATCACTTTCAGCCTTCGAAGGAACCGAAATACCATTATCGGTTTTAAAAGATGTTTCGCGGAGAGCCAAGGACGCCATGTGCAAACCTGACACCAACGCTTTCAGTCGACCCCCTGTATCAATGTATGCATCGTTTTTCTACAATTTTTTTTTCAAACGACGTCAATATTCGTTACGAACAGTCGGCATTTACGAGTCAATTGATTGTAATTATAATTTCAAATTTGTGAAGAATAACCTGTTGTGTTAAATTAATATTTTCTATAAACGCACATCAGGTCATCGATGACATGCAATATGTTAATCATTTGTAAGCTAATATTAATAATAATAAAATATCGGTAGTTATTTGTTTTAACGATTAGTAAAAATTTTTGCAAAATTTTACTGCGGATTTTTACGTATATTTCGAAACCCTTAAATAAATAACGTGTACAAAGAAAAGTTTTTCGGAATAATAAGAACAACATATTTCAATGTCATCGAAATCAGTAGGAAATCGTATTTCAAAGATTTACTTTCAGTGGTAAGATATTAAAATCACTTGATGAGTCTATCATTGTGTAACATATGAACATCACATTGACACTAAATTTACCGACGTGCTATATACATTTTTTTTGGAACTAAAATATAAATTAAAAATACAATTAAGTCTTCGTCTTGATTGAAATGAATATAGATTTCAAGAAAACCGTCTGAACAAATTTTATAACTTGAAATAAAAATCTTATAAACGGATCATTTGATTCTATGGTAGATTTGTAGATAGTTAATACTAATTAATTAGGGAAAATATGTGTTAATTTGATATGACTTTTATCGTTGCTGACCAAACTTTTAGTACCTCATATACGTCATTTTATTCGTCCTGACGCGATGAATGCGAATATCCGTTTTTGCCGGAAGTTACGTACTTCCATAATAGTCATGAGAATATTGTTACTAATCACGTGTTGGTACAACATTTTAGCTGAACTGAATTTTGCAAACAGTGAAGAATTTAACGAGCGCAATGATATCCTGTAAACAAGAACTCATTCCTTAATGTTCGAAACGACAGACCAGTAATACTTGTGCTTATAGAGCCTCTTTCTGTGTTTTCCATACGTACCAAATGTCCCAGTTTTTACCGCCAAACTTCTCAACATATTCCATATACAGATATAAAACTGTATTGACACACAGTTTACACATTTTATTAAAACGTTATAACAAGAATATAAAATAACTTTGGACTGCTCTGTTTTTTGATGACACATACAATATGCCCAAAATTTGTACGTAAAACTTTACCACCATGTCCTATGAATAAAAGTGATTGAAAATGTTATACGAAATGATACTTGATCATTTTCTCATTCGATACTATGTACGAATAGTCGACACTCATATATGTATTTTTAAAAAAATTATTAATAACGCATTCAGGAGCCTGTGTTCATATAAAGATTTTTCCTTGTTTGTATTTATGCATATAATGTGCTAATCATATTCCACGAACAAAACTGGAACACGCAATGAACCAGCCCTTTGTCACTTTGTAATTTGTAAAAACGGAATGCGTAGTAAAACTTTGACGATAAAAAACTGGAACACTGTGTATATTTTAGCGTTCTAAAAGATGACGAAAACGCTATACGTTGGTCTTAAGATTACAATCTTCCTCCAAAAAATAAATACTGTGCAAAATACTGTAAAAAGTTAACACTACATATAAATTCTCGGAGGTTTAGAATGTTTCGACGCAAAACAGGAAGAAATTAACATGAAACAGCCATAACAGATAATACTTAATTCAAAAATGTCTGATTGTTGCTTTCAAAACTGTTATTGTATAATTTTTTCAATACAAGAAACCATGGTTAATTTAGCTTGAAGCATTGAAACCAAATTCGAAAAAATGCGAATCTCTACCAAGGTTAATTATCTTCTTATTGATCTTTGTGATCGATGATATTTTTATTTATCAGGCGAAGACGATGAAAATGATATAATAATATGTACCAAAAGCTTTACGGATATCTTAATGATCGATCTTCAATCAAAGCAATACAAAGTTTTGTTATCATTGATTAAATTCATATGCATACCTTAAATTAGACTAAATTTATAAGATATACATACATGTATTTTTATCCCTATGATCCGACTATTAATTTTGTTATACTTTGAGTGAATTAATCGATGTATTTTCTCATGGATTTTAATTGAACTTTTCATAATCGCCTTACAGTGATATACTATGGCGACCAGCTTGCTCTGACTCTTTCAAATTTCAAACAATAAACATGCTTTAAATTAATAAAAATTATATTTTTAAACTAATACCCTGATGAATGTTGTACAACATATTAATGACATAACTTTATCTGGAACTAATAACTGTCGTCCTAATTGATTGAGTGGGAACAATGTAAAAGTTCAATCATCATTTAATATGTATAATATGTCACTAATTAACTAAGATAAAAAAAGAGAAATCCATGAGAACGACCGATCGATAGGTTAACCGCGCTTTCCAGACAAAAGAAAAGCAAACACAGGAATGTGGGAAAGGTATCTAAGGTCGATCCGAAGGTAACTAGAGGGACTGACCTTCAACAATCCTCCACACGTAGTGAGGCGCGTAAAAGCAGATCGCCTGCAAGAACAGAACGAAGGGCACCCATTGGTAGTAAGCATGGTGCACTACAGGATCGTCTCGGCCAGCTGGTCCTACACCAGGATGCGCAACTTCGCCCAGTTCTATCGATGTGGCGTTCAAGTGTTTCACCTATGACATTCGTTTTTAACATTTTACAATTTCAATATCTTACAATATTAACCCCTTTCCATACGATTTGTTTGTCAGATTTGTAACACTAGTACTGCCAGCACTAAACGCACACTTATTTTTAAACTGACTAATGAATCTACAGACCAGCCTCACGCGAATTCGAGTGTATATTTAAAAGTACAGTATCTACTGTAAACGTCTATATTGAATAAGAATGAGACGTGAAGATTTTAAAGTTGTTGCGAACGATTAATCGAGTCTGAAACTATCGAAGACGATGCCGAACAAGATTATTGTTGACTTCACGACTGTTGTCAACGATGAGGAATTATTGTTGTCTACTATAAGTTATAGAACTATTAATATGCTTCCAGTCAATTCCATGTGTCAAAATGATAGCAAGCTTCCGGTTTTCAGGTCACCAGTAAAATCTATACAGCAAATGTATCGTGTTCCATGAGTCTACCTTCAAAATTTTGAGTCAAACTAATCAAAATTGCAGCCTAGCGTGTTACAGACAAACAAACAAATGCAGTTTAAGTCGTCCCAAAAGTCTCAATATGTTTGACAATTAATAATTTTCCATTTTATTTTTTATTGTTAAGCGTTAGACTCAAAGTATGGTGAGGGGTGAAAAGTTAATTTTTAATTTTATTATTAGGTGTAATATTTACCACAGTGTAGGTAGATGTGAAAAAACAGAAAGTGTTGATTACTTTGACCTGGTCATCAGACATTCCGGCACCACCGATACACCTTTTTATAGCAAAAAATAAACTTTATTGGTATTCAATATGATTTTTATTGGATTTATTTGAAAATACTTCCAGACCTAACACTGTGTCATAAGTTGACTGTATCACACGTGAATATTGACTGTGTGTGGAATTGCAGACTAAGAAATTCGAAGGACACTTTTCAAATTTTAAAATACAGGACTTCCATATTTCTAAACTTAAAATTATGGTAGTATTAAATTCTTTATTTTATTATATTATAAATAGTAAATTTAGAAATTGGCGTATCTGAAATTTTTATATTTTCAAATTATCGAGTTTTTGAATCCCCATAGTGTTGAATCTCTGCATACCGACATTCCAAAATTGTAAAATTTCTAAATCTATCAAATACCAAATTTCCGAATTCTCGAATACTCGAAACTTTAAATTTCCAAATGTCACTATACTAAACTTTTAAATCACAAAATACTTAAGTTCTAAAATTTCTAAATCCATAGTTTCAAATTCCTACATTCTAAAATTTCCAAATTCTGAAATCCTCAACATTCCAAATTTTCAAATTGTAAAATGTACAATCCAAAAAAATTCCAAAGCATCCAAATTTAAAATCCGCAGAGTCCAAATTTCCCAAGTTTCAAAACTTCCAAATTTTCAAATCTTCAGATCTTTAAAATCCAAATGTCGGAATAACCGTATTTTCAGATTTGCAAATTTCAAAAATCAATTGAAATTTAAAAAACCGATACCCGCAAAAGGTATATTGCTATCGCATCTTTCTTTATATCAGGAGTCGGCAGCCTGTAGTTCGATAAAATCATATTTGTGACTCTTGAGTAGTTTCATAGTACACATTGAAAAATTAACTGCAATATTACAATTGCCAGACAAATATAATAATCCTGCGCAAATGTTTTGATTTCACAATAAATACATGTCTCACAGCAGATAACGGTTATATTATTTTTTCTAATACATATTACCGATGTAAGGTGAAGTGGGGTAAGTGCCGACTGGTTTTTGTAAAGTTGGTATTTAAACGTAAGTATTTTCAGTCTGCTATGTAAATATTTAACGCTGTCGATATCGAACGCTTTGCGCAATTACTACTATTTAATTAATATTAACTAGGTCCTTAATTTTCCTTGTACGTTTTGATTTTGGTAGGAAATTGTTTAAAATGTCAACTACTCTGTACTTTCCACGAAAATGGGGTAAGAGCGTAACTTGAAGCTAAAAATACTTTGAAACTTTATTTCATGTGCAATGGGGCAAGAGCAGAATTATTAACAAATCTGCTATAAAATGCTTTTTACTGCAGTATGCAAGTACTCTGTACTGCAAACAAGTACTCTTAGCTGAAATATAAAAGGGGATATAGTAAAAGAAAACAAGGAAACAAACATACTAAATGGAGAAATTTCGCTCGTATTGTAATAAGAATAGCCTGTATACGCACTTGCCCCGTTTATGAACTTAGCCCACTTCACCTTACATATATTTGACTGTTTAAAAAAATAATTTGTCGCATCGGGAAAAAGATGGCTCTTAACTCCAGAAAGGTTATCGACCTCTGGTGTATAAAAATAAGTGAACTAAGATATTCACATAAAGCGAAACTTTTTTTTTTTTAATTTTAAAGATGCTACTATTTACAAATTAAGAATTTATAACAATTTCCTTAATCTTTCAATGATCACTACAATAAAAAGTTTCTTAAGCAGTACTATTTTTATAATCTTATGTTACTCATCTGGCAACAATTTTAACTCGATAAACAGTTGTTTAATTCAATTTATTGGTTTTTCGCATTAGAAAGATGGCGCCAGAGTAAAACATAGCGCCAAAGTAAAGTTCTATACAGATTATAGAAATAATTTGTACAGAAACTGCAACATGGATCGTATACGTTCCAAAGACCATGAAATTTCTCAGGTATCGCAACAGAAGAAAACTGTGTCCTTAGACTTTAGACCTTGGGTTAATCTCCAACCGATAATTAAGCTGTCCAGGTATTTTGGTTTCCCCGGAAAATCTGGGTTTTAAGATAACAAACTCGAACCTCTGCTGGGTATCTATTAGCGTGGTTTCAAATTGCAGGTATAAATCGTTTTCTTTGAATACCAAGTCCAGTTATTCTATCAACATTTTAACCAATTTTATCTGGACGCTGAAAATCCATTAAGAGTAATTGTATCACGAATTAATCAATTAATCTAACGAATCATTATCTAGTACGTCATAGTTATTTCGATATTAATATTGCAGAATACTGTAATACTTCACTTTATAATCCTCTTATCAATACGTGTTTACAAAATATTGAAAAGTTATCATAATAACATGTTTAGAGATTATCTTTCAATTTCCAATTTATAAATTTCGTAATGTGTTTTATTGTTTAGAGTGCTTGAAATAAAAGGTACTTTACAAAGAATTTTATAAAAATTGAACTATTGCATTCTAAACTTTAAACATATTCTCCCTTGTAACGAATTAACCTTTTCATTACTTATAATAGGGATTATTATAGTTACCCTTCTTTAAGTAGCCATTGTGAACTATAAATGACTGCAGTCATCCGGCACAGATCATTTGTAACGCATGAGAAAATAAATAAGGAAGCAAACAATGGAATAGAACGAAATAAAATAGTGTAAAATATATAAAATGGAATAAACTTAATTTATAGTTGGCTAAATGTGGCATGCTTTCTCGTAATGATAGTGTTCAATTACTACAATGAAAGGGTTAAACATTTTTCTATACATTGCAGATAAAATTTGTATCTGATTAAATGTTAGACAAGTCTATGAAAATATTTGTAATATCACTCAAAAGGAAGAAAAGTGACGTGTAATATATTTGAAAGTAACCAACGATGAACTTATTGAAGCATCCTGTGTCTCAATTATCTAATAAAAATTGAAAACATTTTTATAGATAATGTAAATGACAATAAGAAAGAAGAGAACATAATACTATGAAGTAATCTATAGTGAAATCAATGAAATACTTAGCATAATATTTATTTAACAAAATTGAAAAAGAAATAAGAAACGATTAAAAAATATTATACTTTGTATAGTTAAACAGATATTTTTAATTGTAACGAAAAAGAAAAAGAGAAAGCTATCATAATGTAACCTGTAGAAAAAATTACTGAAACACTTAGTTAGTGTAATAGTTATATAATAAAATTTAAAGAAAGCTTATAAGAATATTGCTAATAATTATGACACATTAGTAAACATTAGAAATTAATTTACAATGAAATAAATGAAACATCATTTATAATTCAATATAATACTGAAAATACTAATTCTTGACTAATGCTGGTACTGGATAACATTTTACAAGTACGATAATGGATAATCTTTATATCGTTATAGCGGTATGAAGAAACTCTTATCAGTTTATCAGGATATCTTTAATCAAGATAGTTACAATATTACCAAACAATGAAATATCACTGTAAAAATATGGAATTCTTTTCAATTACCACGTACTTCTTGATTCTGTCTGGATAGAAATTTGTTGAAACAACAAATATTATAATTCCGTCAGTAAGTATAAACATAATAACAACGATTAGAAAGGACGCAAAAAATAATTAAAAAGTTATGCGAATATTATCAGACACTTGAATAATAAAGGAACGTGACTATTTAGAAACTAGAGGACATCTTAGCATCTGCGTAATAAGTCCATCTTCAATTAGACACAATCGAATCAATCTTGCTGTGTGAAACTTGTTTTGAGAATGTCTGGTGCTTACATTCGTACAAGCGTGTCTTGCCAAACGAAATCAAACTACTCAAAGAATTCAATGAAATCTTGATCTGTTATACATTATTAATGAATTTTCTTTTTTATCATTGAAAATAATTTAAACAAGTTCTCTATTATTACATAAGTTTCTTATCACATATAGTATCAACATATCACTTCTATATATTTAAGACATTGCTTTTATTTACACAATTAAGAAGTGATATTTGTATAAAAAATACAAACAACAGATTAATTCCTTAAACTCAAAATCGTACATGATCGCTCAATAATTTCAAGAATTTCTGAAGAGATTCACAGAAATCCGTAGAAGACTGTAAAATATAGTAAATGAATAAAAGAAAAGACAATTCCACATCGCAGACAATAACACGGGAAGAAGTTGTCACAAAACGTTCAAATTAATACAAGTATCAAACTTGATACTCATACTTTTTCCGATGAAAGTGTCCATACAAAAAGAGCACCTAAACCTATCCATTAGCCCCCTAACTTATGATTTATTCGTCAGTTGCGTCAGTCAGAGCTAACTAATTATTACCACAACGTTAAGATAATTAAAAGAGTTGTTATATTTATTTTGTATTTAGCGGTCTTTAATTGTTCAAATTACACTTCGCATCTCACACAAAATTGATTTTTCGTGCAAATACGAATTGGATTTGAATTTGAATTGCATATACGTCACATGTCTGACTTAGCATTATAAGTCAAGTGGATAACAATAAACAATGTCACTAAAAACATAGACCGTCCTAAGACTTTTCAGTACCTGATGTGTTCTCCGATAAACTGTCTACCTGTCACCAGAAGCGTGCCGGCCAAGAGTAGCAGGAATGTGACCCTGTAGTGCATCTTGAAAACTAATCGCAATTCACTGATTACATTTTACCATTAACAAAAAGAAGAATAAAAATAAACGCGTCAAATTGAAGAGACATTACCAAAACTGTCAATGGCCACATCGTTTTCCGAGACCTTTAACTTGACATGATCCTTGAGGACCGAAAACGTAGCTAAAACAGTTGCCATTTCGACGAGAAACAGATATTATCCGTTTGACTGTAATTGTCCGCTTGTTTTTCACAAGGTGTCTTTTTTAAATCAATCGTACACTCCGTTTAAAAGCTCAGCATCGGCCGGGCCACTTCCGGAACGCTCAGGCACCGCCGGATCACTTCCGGTCCGATATCCTCGCGAACAAGCACGACGCACAGTTTAGTTTCC